CAAATGATTGATATAGCTACAAATTTGAAAGCTTTTTTTTTAAAAGTTTTAATCCAGAGGGCCAAAAATAGTAAAAATCTGGAAAGTGGGGCTCACTGTTTACTTGGTGCAGTTTACTTGATCTCAGGTGTTTGTGGTAGTAATTCTTTGGCAGAGGCAGACTATGTTGTGTTTGGGCACAAACTAGTTCTTTGTATGTGTAAAGATTTTAGGTTGACACAAACATGGCTTAGTTATACAATAGTCACAAATTATTCGGTGTGATTCTGGTGTGAAGATGAAGCCTTAAAAGGATGAGCAAAATGTCAAATGAGCTTTAATTTGTTCCTGGATCATAAACAGTGAGAACTAGTTTCACCAGGCTGTTGTTAATCTAAACATGGCTTATAAGAGTCTTGGTGGTCTTTCCAAGCTGCACTGCATACATCCTCTAACCTGTTGGCAGTGAAGAATCTTAAGGAAAGAGAGCTGGTCATTTCAGGTTTCTTAGTGCTCAAAAGCTTATTTACTTGTTTTAAAGTTTATTTAGCTTTTCTATGTGGGATATGCTTGTGGCGTTTATTCATAAAGAGCAGATAGGATCCTTGAATTGACTTCTTAAAATCTGGCCTTCAGGGCCTGCCCTTGCAAATGTTGTTGTGCCTCCATTCCCATGAATCCTAGGAAGCACGAGTATAAATAACATCTTTAATGAAAATAGAAATCCCAAGTAGTTTAATTGTTATTGTAAGATCATTGGAGCCTACATTTCTTGGTAGTGTTACTATATTAAGTTCTGGTAACTTTAACAAAGCTTTGTTTATTAGTTCAAGTTAAATCCAGTAAAACTGCTTTGTCTCCTTGCTGTTCTAGATTCGAGGAGGAATGTTCAACTGTTTGTATCTGCAAAATACCATAAACAAAATTGTCTGATTTGTTCTAAATTTGCAGAGTAATTGTACTTCTGTTCAGCCACTGACAAGTGTGAGGTTTGTATGGTTTTCAATTGTTGTGCAAGTATAGAAGTATATATGGGTGATACTGGGGAATAAAACATGTTTGCAGTGGAAAACTACTTGCAAGAGTTTTTCCCTGTGTGGAAGAACTACTGCTGCTCTGTGATAATGAGAAAGTTGTAGCTATTTTAGGTGTATGATGAAGTATGTTTTTGAATTGTTCATGGCAATATTACTTTGTGAGGTTGCCAGAAGCTGCTTCTACAACTTGACAGAAAAAGAAATAATATTATAAAAGGAAATATTTCATGTTCATTTAAAAAGTTTTTTAAAACTTGTTTGCTCTTTTGATATAGAGGAGTCCACTTCTTTAAGGGTATGCCTTTGTTTGATGGGTACTTTTAAATGAGAACTTAATCTTGTCTGTTGCCTGAAGATCACAGAAGCATAAAGTAATTCAGGTTAGAAGGGACTTCAGGTCTCTAGTTCAACCCCTTGCTCAAAGCCGGATCAGACCCAGTTGTTCAAAGCTTTATTCAGCTGTTCTTAAAAACCTCTGAGGATGGAGACTGCAACCTCCCTGGGCCCTGTTTTCACTGCCTGACTGCCCTTACAGTGCAAAAGTAGTTCAATTTTTTTTTTTCTTTCCTCCCCTTAAATCAACCTGGAATCAAGTTTGTTTGCATTTCTGCTGTGTCTTGTCCTCTTGTCACTCACCATTTTGAGGACCTGGCTCTGTTTTCTCAGTAAAGATACTGGTGGGAGCTGTGAGGCCTCACTGAAACTGTCTCTTACTCAGGCTGAAGGATTCCCAGCCATCTCAGCCTCCCATTATAGGGCAGGCGTTCCACGTCCTGGTCCTTTCTGTGACCCTCTGCTGAACTCACTGCAGTTTATCGATGCCAATTATCAAAGTGGACACTGTTCTAAATGCTGTCTACTGGATGTTCTATAATGTAAAGTTTAATTACTTGACCATATTTTACTTATAGAAATTGGGGAAATGTGGGTGGCTTATTAGTATTTGGGTTTTTAAAGTGTAATTGGATTTCAAAGCAATATTTAGGTAGCGTTAAAAGAATTCTTCCATTTATATGCTAATGAAATAACTTTTATGAATTTTAGTGAAAATGTTTGATGGATTTTAAAAAAATCTGACAGATAACACCTTACCTTCAATACATATTTATTCAACCTTAATTAGCTCTGGATAAGTCTAAATTGCATCATTAAAGTGCTGGAAAAGAAACAGAGTACTTGGTTGTAATTCTGTACTGAAATATTCTATAGAAATCGAAGTCAGTGAGTGAATTCGTTCTCACTGTATAAAAGTATGTTTAGAGAAATCAGCCTGATGGAGAGTTGGGAGGATTTTACACGAAGTAAACTCAGATAAGCAGAAACGCACACAGAGGTCTGCTGTGAGAGCTGCACGGAGAGCTCGTTTGTTTGAAGTGGCCTAGTGGGGTGGCAGCTGGCGGGGCGGCGAGCTCTGCCCTGCTGCGAGCTCTGCCCTGCTGCATTGTCAGGTTCTACAAAGAGAAATTTTTCTGAGAATCTGAATGGATCTCTGCTTACTCCCTTTGATTTACACTGAGGTTTGGAGAAGTTATAGTCAGTGTTCTGGAGTCAGATGATTATTTCAGAATCATAACTCGCCTCATGTAATGCTACAGTTCAGCCAAAACTTAGTGAATGTGCAGTAAGGGAGGGAATAATACAGCAAGCCAAGGAGGAAGCAGAAGGCTTTTAGAACACTTCATACTGTTCCGTGTGAGCAGCAAAAGTATGCTACGATTGGAGGCAGTGTTGAAAGGCACAAGGAATGTCCAAATGAGCTTTTGCTCTTATGAGTTTAGGCAGTGGGTTGGCACTGAGGTGGGTGTCCAGGATCCTGGGTGGGCTTGTATGACCTCTGCTGCAGCTTGTCTGTCCATGGCTTTGCTGGCTGAGTAGCTGTGGTTGCAAGATCAACAGCTAGCTTGGGTGTGCCTGTACCTGCTGCAGTCAGAACTTCCATTTTGCAGTGCAGCTCTAGTCAGGTTTGCCGCATCTTTTAAAAGTCGCTTTTCTAGGGCTTGTTTATGCTTACTTGTCTCTCATGGTTGGTGCAGCCTTAATTTAAATCTGTGAGCTCTAGTTAAAACCACTTTCTCTGCTGACATAGAGAAACTGGGGCTGTTGTGCCTTTGTATCTTTGTCTCACCTGGTATTTCTCACTTAAAATATGAACAAAAACCATTTCATATGGAAAACATTTTAAAACAAGCTTCTGAGTAAATACATCTTTATATTTCTGGTTATTAGAAAACTTAAGTGTCTATAAACTAAGGAAAGTTATCTGAACAAATATTGGATGTTCACAAGTTAACAACAATATAGAAAAATCTAAATCTACCTTAAGTTTTACAGTGTGTAATATATTGCAAGGGGGGAAAAACTGTGAAAGTATCTTATCTTAATCATCTAAATTTTACAGTCAAAGCATTAGTCTTCAGTGTTGCAATAATTCTTCTGTGGAAGGTACTTTGAAAACAGTGATTTAATGTTGATTGCTTTTAATTTCAATTGTTGGAGTTGCACGAGAGTTAGTTCAGGACCCCTCTGTTTCAGTGTTTGGAGAAAGCGGAGACTGCCGGAGACCCAGAAAGGAAGTAATACCTCTGTGTGACAGGGTCACGCAGGCTCTGTGGTGTTCAAAGGCATTTTTCTTCATTTTTCAACTTAATGTGTGTTCAGTTACTTTTTTTTCCTCCTAATTTTTTTTTTTCTGGAGGGGTGTGATTTTTATGCTGATAAGCTCTATCACTGAGCATTTAAACACAGTGTCAGGTTTCCTATGTTTTCTTTGAGATGAGGAAGACTTGGGCACCTCAAGGAGGTGACAAATCTATAGAACTTAAGGTTGTGGTTTTCTGCCTTCTTCCTGCACCGACGCATTCCTGTATTGTTACGGTAACTTCAGCGCCTTTTGGATCTTGCAGTTTAACCTGTAGCTATGGCGTGTGTAGGACTCTTGCGGTGTCACTGTGAGCCCACTGTTACGCGGGACCATGGGCTGATTTGTCAGGGTGCAGAGAGATCTGTGCAAACTTTTCTCGGTGTTGAGAGGGGAGAGAAAGTGCTGATTCAAGGCTACAATGTTTCATTTATGGAATAGAAACAAAGATTGTCTGGTCTGTAAACCCCCCCAAAAAAAAAAACAACTGACCAAAACCTCTTCAGGATTGTTGCAGGATGTCCGGCAGCCTGAGTAGCGAGAGGGAAGGACAATTTGGTACAAAGTTACTGTTTGGAGTAACTTCAAGTGTGAGCGTTTTCCCAGCGTTTGTTCTAGAGATCCCTTTGTGCAATGTCAGGAAATGATTAAGCTGATGAATCCTGTATCATGTGATTCTGTCCTCAATCAATACTATTAAAAAAAAAAAATACAATCCTTTTCCTTTAAACATGCCGAGGCTCTTCTCACCAGAAGGCTGGACACTCCCTCTTCTGGTGTGCGAACTGAAGCTTCAGTTTAGGAAATGGGGGATTGTTGTTAAATGCAGAAGGAAGTACTGTGGAACTCCCGCTTTTTCCTTCTCGCTTTTTAACTTCTTGAAACACTTGAGTGTATTGACATGCTTGTGATTTCAGAGCTGTACAATAATTTTATAGTTTGTTCCTGTTATCCCAAATGAAAAGTCTTAATACAAATGTTCCAAGTAGGTTGCATTTCATACTATGTGTATCCTGCCACTTAAAACAAGCTCTCTAGTGTCAGTTGACTGAACTAATAATAGTACTCAAACAACTGAATTCTGAAATACAGCTTGAGTCAGAATATTCCTTATAATAATAACCAATCCTAGAGCTAATAATGAATTTCATGTTAGATTTGAATGCTTTTAAATAGTGACCTTCAATTACAAGGCATTGCGTAATTTTAAAAATTAATGCTAACTTGCAAAACATTCTTGGAAGCTCCTCTACCTGTGGACCTCCAAAGTTGAAATCTCTCTTGTAAATCTTATATAGTCTAGGAGGAAGTTTAAGTCTCCAATTTGTGCTTTCTCATCAGATACCCAGTATGGCCTCATCATCAACACCTAAATATAATTCAAACTCCTTGGAGAGTTCCTCAAGTAAAAGGGTGAGTATAACTTTTTTCAAGTTGTTTTTTTTACATCAGGGGTCCCAGAGATCATTATCTTCCATATTTGGGTAGGAAAATGAGTATTTGAATGACTTCTTTCTTGAATGTATATGCTTATTTTTATTGCTAAAATTCTAATGCAGTTAAATTAGTTGATTTAAGTATCTTTCAGAGTGGATGGATGAAATATTCTCTATATCACAAGTTATGAGAGCCTTCTTAAAATAAATTCTAATATACTGACTCTTATCTGTATTCAGTATTTCTACATTGAAATATTCTGTGGCATTCTTGAAAATTTTTGGCACTTTGATGCTGTAGAAAGATTATGTACTGCAATTGATAAGTTATACCTAGTTATGTGTAGCTGGATCAGTTTTAAAATGTTCATCTGTAGTGGGAAATACATTAAAGCAATCTAAATGGCATTCCCCTCTGCTTTTTGATGCTGCGTGGCTGAAGAAAATGCAACCTGTGTGCAAGAAAACAGAAACTTAAGTTTTTGTTTAGCTTCTCAAACATTTCTTCAAAAACGTAGATTATTTTCTATTAATCATTCTTAAAAACTACTGGCCATGGGAAAGTCACAAATGAGTAGATTGTGTGTAATAGTTGTGAGTACGTTGCTTAAGTTATTTCAGTTGATCTTCCAAGCCCAGCATACTTGGGAAATTAAATGCACAAAATTTTCAGAGAACTTACAGTGTAGAAATTTAACTCCAATTTTATGCAAATATGGTTAACTATTCTTTTAGAAGGAGAAAGACTAAAATATACTTATGTTTCAGATCTGTTCAACCTTTAAATGTCTAATAGTCGCAGTTCAGGATAGTGGTGTGTGTTCCTGTTTCGGTTCACTCTGTTTCTGCTGTGGAAAATCCTGTTCTTTCCCATGCAGAAATCATCTCTTGAAAGAATTGTAAATAAAACATAATGTGCTGTTGTACTTCTCTCTCTCTTCAGACTCTAAAAGATGGAACTAACTGGGAACAAAATGAAGAAATACCTCGTCTGCCAGGAGAGACTAGAGTTACAGGTATGAAGCTATATAGCTGCCTAATACAGTGTATGTTTGGGAGTCTGGCATATACATGTATCTAACTGGATCGTTTCATAATTTGGAGTGGTTTGGGCTGGGGGTAAGTCAGGCTAAAATGTCATGATTTTTTTTAAGTAATTGCAATAGGGACTTTCTATCACGTATCCCAAATTTAAAATCTTGGTTTCCACACATGGTAGATCCTCCAATACAAAGAAATTGCAAGTCAAGATATGTCATAATTGTATCTACAGACTAAGTAGTAGCACATGTTTAGTGATGAGAGCCCCTCCAGGTTTTCCAAAGTCAAGAGAATTATACATGCCACCCACTATATATTCATATCTTGTACAGTAGTTTGGAACCTTAGACCAAACTGTGACTAATTAAGTACAGTTGTCATGGTTTAGCCGCAGCCAGCAACTAAGCACCATGCAGCTGCTCACTCACTCCTCCCTCCCCCAGTGGGATGGGGGAGAGAATTGGGAAAAAACTCGTGGGTTGAGATAAAAACAGTTTAATAGGACAGCAAGAGAGAAGGAAACAACAATGATAACAACAATAATACTGACAAAGGAATGTACCAGAACAAGTGATGCCCAATACAGCAATTGCTCACCACCCAGTGATCGATAGTCTGTCCCCAAGCAGCGATTTCCACCCCCCGGCTAACTCCAGTTTATGTACTGGGCATGACATTATGTGGTAGGGAATACCTCTTTGGCCAGCCTGAGTCAGCTGTCCTGGCTGTGTCCCCTCCCAGCTCCCCGTGCACCCCCAGCCTTCTTGCTGGCAGGCCAGCACGAGAAGCTGGACTGTCCTTGACTGCTTAGCAACAACTCAAAACAGCACATTATCAACATTTTCTCATCCCAAATCCAAAACATAGCCTCATACTAGCTTCTGTGAAGAAAATCAACTCTATCCTGGCTGAAACCAGGACAACAGTCTTATGCTTCCTTGGCATAACATGGCATGTATGCATTTGTTAACCTTTACATCCAGTAATGTTGTAGCATAAGGAAGATTAATGTCTTGTGTACAGCCGTTTCTCGCTTGATGGAGGCTCTTTCTGGAATGGAGGTTTCCACCCATGGAAGTTTGTGTTGAAGTATCAGAATGCAACTGCAAGTGTTCTGTGTTTTATTTGTGAAGCTTCTCCTTCCCCCCTCAGCCTAAGGATTTGTTAGGTGGATTTGTAAACAAGATGGCTGAGATGAAACCAAAGAGGTTTCAGAGGAAGTACCTATGTTTTTAATGAGGAAAGTTGTGGAGAAGGCATGAGGGAGAGAGTGTGGAACTGAGATGAATGTTTGATATGATCCTTATGAAATTGTCTGTGCTTTGGGGCAGCACGCTGGAAGGAGGGTGCTTGTTATAGAAGACAGATAACTAGATTGGGCTAAAGAAATGAGTGGACAGGGAGAAACAGGTTGTTTGTAGTGCTTCACTTAAGTCTTTAATGGCATTGCTTCAGTTAAATCTTTCTTTTTTGAGTAGTATGTGTTAGTACTTGTTTTGTTACTGTCCTTGCTGAAACAGTGCTTCTGGCCCTGCTGTATTTGATTGCCTCAAATTGAAATGTATGTTTCTCTTCAGGATGGTGAGTTCCCTAAACACTTTACAGCTTGAACTACATACTTTAATGCAGAATTGGTTACAGAGCACTGAAAGATGTAATCATATCAGCAGAAGAATGTATTTGTTCTGCGATAGTTAATAGAATGGTTCAGTAATCACAGAGAGGACTTAAATCTATTTGCTGTTCTATGTCCTGCCCTCTCCCGCATAATGCCAAGGAAGAGAAGAACACAAATGTGACTAGGGAAGGCTACTAAGATCTACTGGTTTAATTTGGGCAGGTTTAGTATATGAAACTTTCACATTTTCTTAATAATTCAAGTGGACAAAATTCAGATTTATTACTTTTTTAATTCATTCATCTCTGAGTGGCTCTTATGAATGCAGCTGTCTTTATTTTACTGCTACTTAACTGATGCTGTCCTTAGCTCTGACTTTTTCTTTTCGCAATCTTTAAGAAATGCTGCATTTCTTACAGACAAGGATGTTATTTATATGTGTCCGTTTAATGGCCCCGTTAAAGGAAGAGTGTACATCACAAACTACAGGCTGTACCTAAGAAGTGTGGAAAATGTGAGTAATATGCCACAATTAATTCCGTGGGATGAGTTGGCTTTAAACCCCCTTCCCTTCAACCCCACTGCCTGTGATTTATTTTGCGGCTAGTTCATTTGTTTTAGTTTTGGCATACATATGCTTATGGAATTGCATGGGAGGCTTTTTATGTGAAATGACCTGTAATGTTTGTAATAACCATATCTTAATTGTCTAATGACTAAATAGCAATTGCCTTTGTGCCACTGAGAAATCTGTATAAAAATGGAAGTTCTTTCAAGTTAAGTGTGTAAAACTGATTTTTGCCTGGTAAAATTACTGTTTAATCACTTACACCGTACTGATACCTTTATCTTTTGTCTGTTGGAGCTTTTTTGATAGCTGTTCCCTTTTACACGTATTCTGTGATAAATCAAAGGCAACAACTAATGATGTGAAATAGTTCTTAAAATGGCTATCAGTAAACCAAGATTTTGATTGTCCTTACTGTTGGAAAAGAAAAATACTTTGATCAGTAGAACCTCACGTGGGTGCAGGTAGTAGTAGTGTGTTCGATAAGCAGCAACATGAAAGAGAATAAAATGCACTTGTTATTGCTTTCATAATTTTTTATTTTTTTTAAATAAGGTTTTAGAACTGAGGTCTTTCTGGTTGCAGCTAACTCTAGTAATAATCTCTTTTTCATGTTGTTCTACTTAATTCTGTATATCGATAAAGCAGTCTTAGCAAGCAGAGGCAATCAGAAGTTTGTAGCAGAAGGCACCTTTTAGGGTGTTGCGATCTTTGTTCCCTGCATACTGTATTAGGCCTGAAGTATTTTTGTTGCATGTTAAATTGAATGATGTTCAAGGCTGTAGAGTGACTGTACAGACTTCATAACATGTTGGGAGGGGAGTCTGAATCAAACACAGAAACACACTTTTGCTTCCTCTATGTATTTTACGTCTGTGTTCTATTCTAGAATGCTAAGAACATTTTGCTTGTGTCTTCTTTTCAAATTAATCTTTTTCTTACTCAAACTTTCCTTGCAGGATCCAGTTGTGGTATTGAATGTTCCATTGGGTGTAATTTCAAGGATTGAAAAAATGGGAGGAGCTTCAAGTAGAGGAGAAAATGCTTATGGATTAGATATAACTTGTAAAGTAAGACTTTCCAATAATTCAATAGGAAATGAAATCTAGAGGTTCCTTTTCTCACTGCTTACCTATTTATAGGAATGAAAAAACACATTTTGCTCACAGCATAATTTAAAAATAGCTTTTTGGAACTGGGCAGGGAAATATATTTTGTGTAAAGGCCTATTTAACTGTCCTCCCTGCGTGTGAGGAGAGGGATTGGTCTTCCTTTCCGAATTGACAAGAGGTTTTGCACAGTAGTCTTGTTTTAGGGCATTATTGCTGCATTGCTTCATTATTTCATTTGTTCTAAAACTAATTTTTTTATAATCCTAAGATCTTTGAAGAACACCTAAAATGGGCGTTTTGTAAGCTGTCAAGGCAGTAAAAAGCTTACATAACAGCTATCTTGATTTCCTTAGTCTCACAAAAAAATTATGTTGCTATAAAAAATACGGTCATAGGGGAGTTCCCAGTGGATAATTCAGGATCCTTTATTTGACTCATTAATGGAGCGTGTACACACATTTGATTCCTAATAGTTAATGCGCAGATCACTTTTTTTGATGTTAGTGATGAGAAAATAGCTACGGACAATGTAGTCTAGACAGATTATTGGCAAATTTTCAGCTTGAAAACAGAGTAACTCCCATCCTACAAACATTCAGTAGCCTATGAGACTTTTTAGTGAATCAGATACAGTCATTTCTGATGGCTTTATGCCAAAGCAGTGTTTGTACTACACAGAATGTGGTAACTGCTTTATTTGTAGAATTTCTATGCTCTGTTCTATTTTATGGAGTAAGAAATAAACCTGAACATTCACAATGGTTTGAGGTGTGTTGCAAGCAGATTCTAAATCATGTTTAGTGTATAATACAGCATTTGTACATCAGATAAAAGTATCTTACTGCTTTGGTTCTCTTAAAAGATAATGCCTTTATTTTAGGACATGAGAAATTTACGGTTTGCATTAAAACAAGAAGGGCACAGTAGAAGAGATATATTTGAAGTCCTCACAAAATATGCTTTTCCCCAGTCACATAACTTGGTAAGTTACATCATTTATACTATTGAATTGTCTTAATGAAGTGGTCTTGCCAGTTAACTTTAACTGTTTGACCTACTGATGGATATCATGGCTGCTTAAAAAGAATAACCACAGAATCTGGTGTCAGCATAAACTAAAGAGAATGAATATTTTTAGTTTTGTATACTTACAACACTTATATCTATGTATTTGTAAAATTATGGATGCTATATGCTATACTTCAGGTAAACTACTGAGCACCTCTGATCCATACAGATTTCATTGCCTAGAGACTGCAAGTTTTCCTCTCTAATTAGGGAATATATTCATACATGCCTTACTTGATTTCTTGAAAATGTTAAACTATTGGGCAGTCTCCAAGGCAATGATAAATATGAATCACCAAGAGCTTTACTTCAGGAAAAGAAGGCATGGTAAGACAACACTTGTTTTATTGATGAAACTGATGAAAAATATAACAGGCAGCTAATACAGTAATGAATTTACACAGATTTATTTCAGGTAAAAAAACATCTTATGGAAGGAATTGAATGACAATGATAACTAACCATCATCCTTCGTTTCTTTGCTGAAATCTGTGTACTGTCTTTGGTGGATCATTTTGACATCTCTTCAGTAAATTCTTTATTTTGTGTTGTAAAATTCAGTTTACGTTTTATTGGGGTGCTTTCGTTTAGGATAATTGTATAAGAGGTCATTTCACAACATGTTGGAGGGTTCTGCTACGAATTTTTAAGAACTTTGTTCTTGCTGCAGCAAGAATCGTATTTCTTTCTCCAAAGACTCACATCAATCAATACTATATAAACATTGAATCCTTTAAATTTTTTTTTTTTTTTCAGAAATTTTGCATTCTGTATGCAAACAGTCTGTGGAATGAAAGCATAAGGAAAAATAAATGCAAAACTTAGAATTTTGTAGTGTTGACAAATAGGTCTTAAGACATGAAACTGCTATTTCTACATTTGGGTAGGTGTGAGGAGTTGTACTCACAAAGAAAACTGTTGTAGAAGAGAATATATATCTAACTCTACTGCTGGCATTTTATGCATCTTAAAATAGAGGATGATTGATTGAAAGCATAAGAGGATATGGACTTTGAAAGGATGATGGATAAGAGAGAGAAAACTATATGTAGAAATATCAAATTATAGAGAAGTTTAGCTCAAAAGGGGCTTCTGGAGATCATCTAGTCCAAGCTTCTGTTGCAAGTAGGGCCTTGGATTAAGTTATCCAGGGCACGGTCAAGCCTACTCTTGAGTATTTCCTGTGAGGTACATTCCATCACGTCTCTGGGCAATCTCATCCAATATTTAATCATTCTTATGGTGAAGAATTTTTTTTTTTCCCTTACATTGAGGACCTGTGTGGATTTGCATGTAGTGAATGCAGACAAATGAAGTTGTAACTGACTTGGGAGAGTCCCTTGTGGGATTTTTGTTTTTATAGTGTCCAATCCAACTACAGGGTTCGAATAACATAGTGATGGGATGTGGACTTGTATTAGGTTTTGTCATCCAAAAAGACCCGGTATTCCTGTCTAGTGATGGTAGTGAGTAATGCATGGAGTAGTCCACTTCCTGCTTGATTTGTTGCACCTCTTGAACGTAATAAAGCTCATCATGGCCTGGCCCATTTTGAATGTAAGATTATGCTCAATAACAAAAGGCTCACTCAAGGCAGAGGTAATTTTACCTTCAGATTCAGTAAAGCACAAAACTTGGGAAGATAGTGACAATATGGAGAATGGCCGTACTTTCTATCTTAGCTATGTCTGGAGCAGGGTATAACCGTTAGAAATTATGATTACTTTGGAGGGAAACAAAGTGAGCCTATGTCATATCATGAAGTTGCACCTGTCCTTGTTTTCTAATGTCACGATGGGGATGAGCCCTTAACTTTAAAATGAGCTAAGCAAGTGTGTCGTATTTTTAGTGCGCTTCCACTGTATTTCAGCAACATGCCAGAGATGGATGTTTCTGCCTGGTTGTTCATTCCTGCCTTGATTTTCCCTGCATGAGTTTGAGGCTGCATAATGAACCAGAGAGGGAACTGAAAGGGACTAAAGCTAAAAAAGGAGAAAAAAAATAAAAGCTTTACCCTGAGTCATTTCCTCATTAGCCCAATGTGAGGATGGGGTCGGGGCATCTATGGGTGGGTGTGAATGAAGAGGAATGATGGAACTGCCTCTTTCAGTGGCTGGTTTAGGACAAAGTTTCACTATCTAAGGCACTATATTTGGACTGCGCATGCCTGCCTTCTCCTTTGAACACAGGTTAACACTCTGACCATGCAGCCAGCTTGATCAGGGAGATCTTTTATAAAGAATATCCTGTGGCTTCACATGACAGCTAGGTGAAGATGGCAGCCCTCTGCCACTCAAATACTGAGCTCTTGCTCTTCTCTTGTTTCCTTCCAGCCATGTGGTTGATTACTGACAGTTGTATGATAATCAAGTAAGCCAAGGTAGCTCACTTACCCAGCACAAAATACTCTGTTTTCTGAGTTAGTCTTGTGCCGCTTTTAATAGTCTCAGGAGACCTGGTTTGAAATCAGTATGCTCCAGAACCAGTGTAAGAGGGGGCATGTGAATGGAACAGGGACCAGGCAAGAGAGAAAAGAGAGGGGTGTCCAGCAGTGTGAAACTGGTAATTTTGCTCAGACCACCTTGTGGAACTGCATCCTTGATCTTCAGCTGGT